TCTTTTTCTTTTTCTTTTTTTTTTTTTGAGAGGTTTTCGCAATAGGGCACGTGCACTCGCCAGACAGATAGAGAGAGACATAGAGACAGAAAGCGAGAAATCATCCCCCGGGGGGGATGGTCACGCCGTAATCCCTTCTCCTTCATTCTCCTCTTGGGATCTTGGGCACGCATGCACACGCGCCCGGCGTGAGTTCTAAGCCACTGGGTCTGGGACGTGAACTGCTGTCGACTACGGGGGAGTCCAGCAACATAGCCATTATGCTAACTGCTGGTTCCCATCCCAGTGTTTTTTTTTCAAGCAGCTGGATCTGAGACTCAAATTACACAGTTGTTCCTGTGGGGTTTAGCCAGTTAAACCACTGGGCCATCAGCTGGCCTGTAAAGTTGTTGTTTATGTTCACCTTAATATTCTGTGGGTGGCTCTAAGAACTGGGCTCTGGGGTTGACCAAACCATCCCAGAGTTGGGCAGTGCCAAATTTGCCACTTATTTAATGCATCCCAACAGTGATTTAGACATAGAACCTGGATACCATATCGATAGTACCCAAGAAAATTGAAAGCATATGCTGACATGAACAACTTGCACATGAACATCTGCTGCAGGATTATTCATAATAGCTCCAAAGAGAAACAACCCAAATGTCCATCAGTTACTATACGTACTAGGGGACTTTAAAATGTTCATGGAAAATTGAACTTAAGTACCAGATCACTTTGGTGCAAAAGGTTTCTGAGAGCCATTCATAGTTCTTTGAAGTTGCTCTGAGTATGCCACACACATTTTCCATGAACTTTGCGAAGACCCCTCATATAAACAAAGTGTAGTATAGCCATACAGTGAAATAATATTCATCCATAAAAGAATGGAGTATTGATATGTGGTATAGTATACATTAATGGTTTTTTTTTTTTTTTTGGAGAGGTTTTTGCTATAGGGCGCGCACGCTTGCCAGAAAGACAGAGAGGGACAGAGAGACAGAAAGTGAGAAATCACCCCCCAGGGGAGATGGCCATGCTGCAATTGCTTCTCCTCCATTCTCCTCTCGGGATCTTGGGCACGCACGCACATGCACCTGGCGTGAGTGTAAGCTTCCAGGTCTGGAACTCGAACTGTAATCGACTACATGGGAGTTCAGTGACATAGTCATTACGCCCAACTGCTGGTCCCAGTATGAATGAATCTTAAAAACATTATGCTACATGGAAGAAACCAGACACAAAAGACCACATATCATATTTTTAAAGAAATGTTCACAATGGATGAATATATAGAGACATGTGGAGGGCACTGCACATGGAAGCCATTTTGAGAGCTATCCACCATCTTAGAAACCTTTGGGTTTCACTTCCTTGTTGAGCAAACAATAACAACAATCCTCAGAAAAGCATATGAGACTCCTGATTGGCTCCCTCTTACTCATACCTGATTTGCATTTTGGGCAACCAAACAATGCCCACCAGCCTGTATATAAGTCGCCATTCTTCCTCAATAAACAGAATACTAGAAGACTTGATTAGAACCTCGTCTTGTCTCCACTCTTGTGTGTCTGTGTGAGTTTGTCCCCTTTCTTCACTCCCTCCCCCAGGTGACTGTTCAATTGTCCTGCGGTCTGGACAGAGACAGAAACTAGATTAGTTCCTGGGGCTAGCGAGGGAGCAGAATGGAGAATAACTGCTAACGGTACAGGGTTTCTTTCTGGGATGATGAAAATATTCTGAAATTAGGGAAAACGTACTAATAGCCACTCGATTGTACACTTTAAAATGTCAAATGTTGTGGTATGTGAGTTATAGATCAACAAAGTTTTTCATAAACAAATACCATTATTACTTGGTATCTGAAGGTGATGCTCTTATGAGAATTAAATGACATAGCACATATAAAGTGCTTAAAGCACAGTGACTGGAACACAATGTACTCAGCCAATGGTTATTACTGTTGTTCTTGATTAAAATAATACTGCTTAAATAGCAGTAACCTGGCACCTTTATTTTTTTTTCCCCCATAGGGTGCATGTGCTCACCAGAGACAGTTAGAGAGAGAGGGAAAGTCAGAAATCACTTTCTTTGCCCCTCCCAACTGCCCAGGGGATAGCCATGCCACAATCCTTTCTCTTGAGCTATCCACCATCTTAGAAACCTTTGGGTTTCACTTCCTTGTTGAGCAAACAATAACAACAATCCTCAGAAAAGCATATGAGACTCCTGATTGGCTCCCTCTTACTCATACCTGATTTGCATTTTGGGCAACCAAACAATGCCCACCAGCCTGTATATAAGTCGCCATTCTTCCTCAATAAACAGAATACTAGAAGACTTGATTAGAACCTCGTCTTGTCTCCACTCTTGTGTGTCTGTGTGAGTTTGTCCCCTTTCTTCACTCCCTCCCCCAGGTGACTGTTCAATTGTCCTGCGGTCTGGACAGAGACAGAAACTAGATTAGTTCCTGGGGCTAGCGAGGGAGCAGAATGGAGAATAACTGCTAACGGTACAGGGTTTCTTTCTGGGATGATGAAAATATTCTGAAATTAGGGAAAACGTACTAATAGCCACTCGATTGTACACTTTAAAATGTCAAATGTTGTGGTATGTGAGTTATAGATCAACAAAGTTTTTCATAAACAAATACCATTATTACTTGGTATCTGAAGGTGATGCTCTTATGAGAATTAAATGACATAGCACATATAAAGTGCTTAAAGCACAGTGACTGGAACACAATGTACTCAGCCAATGGTTATTACTGTTGTTCTTGATTAAAATAATACTGCTTAAATAGCAGTAACCTGGCACCTTTATTTTTTTTTCCCCCATAGGGTGCATGTGCTCACCAGAGACAGTTAGAGAGAGAGGGAAAGTCAGAAATCACTTTCTTTGCCCCTCCCAACTGCCCAGGGGATAGCCATGCCACAATCCTTTCTCTTCCATTCTCCTCTCAGGATTTTTGGTACACACCATGTACCCAGTATGATTTTCAAGCCACTAAGTCCAGCACTTGAACCTGGGTCTAGTGCCTTAACCATCATATGCCCTGTTGGCCCTATAACCTGAAACTTCTATTCACTGCTACGTATCTAGAATTATTACCTGTTACATAACGTGCAGTGAATACGTACCTATTGAAAGAATGTGGTTAGGTCCCATTCGTGTTCAGCCACTTTCACAGACATGGCTGCCGTGTATTCTGTTTATTGTACCATATTGCCAAAACTACATCAATGGGGGCTGTGTCTCGAGCTACTTGTCCAGTGGTGGTAAGGGAGTGGTAGGGGCTCTTCATGGCCCACAGTTCAACGCTTAAGTTGGTGTTAGGGAGTTAGGGGTATAGACACAGTCTGGAAAAGCAAAGATTGCACTTAAGTTCAAGGTAAAAGTGGGGTCAAAAATGATTCTTGAGCTTCTTCAAAGTAATATTCTCTGTTATGATTTTATAAGAATTTAATTGGCCTGGTAAGTATGTTTTATTTAAATTTTATTTGTTCTTATTATTTAATTTTGCTGTAGAGTACATGTGATCACCAGAGAGAGACAGAAAGAGAGAGAGAAAGAGAGGGAAAGTGAGAAGGTAAGCTACCAGGTCTGGGACTCGAACTGTGGTAGGCTGTGTGGGAGTCCTGTGCCTTAATCACTATGCCATCTTTTGGCCCCATGTATGTATTTCTTAATGGTTTATTATCAGCTTCATAGAGAGCAAAGGACTTCATTTTTCTTAAAAAAAAAAAAAAATTCTGTTCCTAGAAATATGCAGAATTAAAGTGGTAATTTGTTCTCCTGAACTCATTTCATGTAAGAAATTGTAATTATAAATTAAGATAGAAACCGTTTTTTTCCTGAAAATATTTTCTTTCTTTTTTGAAATTCACATCATTTTATATACCAGGATTTCTACTAATAGCAGTGAGTTGCTTTTACAACTGCATTAACAAGGTACCATCAACCTGCCTGTATTGAAGCTATTGAAAAGAATTAAACCTTTTATTATTTGTATTAATATTATGTGGCATTCCTTTCAGGAGACCAGTAGAACTTTCTCCCTTTAGTCTCTCTAAAAAATGATTGTGCTTCTCCACTTTCTTTAGTCTTCTGTACACTATGTGGCTGATTGTGTTTCTTCGTTACCGTAAACTGTGGACAGGCTCAGTGCCTAATTTGTGTCTTATCTCTAAGAAGTATCTTTCATCAACCTTTCCTTTTTCCTCTCTCTTTTTTCTTTTAAATAATTATTTTAACTTTATTTTAATTTGACTGGGAGGGGGGGTTTTGGGGGGAGAGAGAGAGAGAGAGAAAGAAAGAAAGCAAGTCGCCAGGTCCAGGACTTGAACCACAGTTGGCCACGTGGGTGTCCAGCACTCTTAACCACCACGCCACCTGCTGGCCCCCTTTTTTTCTCTTTAACTTGCTACAGGGCATGTGTACCTGTTTGGAGAGGGAGGACCCCTCCTTCCCTAGTGGAGATGACCACCTTGCAATCTCTTCTCCATTCTCCTTTTGGGATTTTGGGCACACACACACATACATGGACCTGGTGTGTTGTCCAAGATGCCAGGTCCAGGACTCGAGCTGTGCTGCTGACCATGTAGCTGCAGCTGCCTTAACCACCACACCACTGGTTGACTCACTTTCTCAGCGTTTGTGTACCACCCTCCCTCTTGACTCTACTCTCATTTTCTTTACTTTCCTTTCTCTTTTTTTCTTCCCCTCTTTGTTTTCCTTTCCTTCTCTTCCCCTTTCCCTTTTCTTCTTTTGCTGTGCATATCTTCAAGAGCTCGTCTTACAACTTGTGAGACAGATGGGTTAAATATGCAATAGTGTGGCCATTATTGAAGCCAGTATTTAAAAACTAAAAATACCTACTTACTACCCACAACTACTCTCCCCCCCATACCAAAGAGAAGGAGAGAAAAGGCAAAACTCAGTAAAAAGTTTGTAAGCTTCCCCTCAAAGCTACTCTTTGGTAACTTTCTTGAGTGTTTCTCTTTTTCTTGTCTTTTTAATAGAAGTTGGAGATATGGCAAAGCTGTACATACAGAAAGGTCTTTTGGTTCCAGATCATGTGATCACACGCTTAATGATGTCGGAGCTGGAAAACAGGCGCAGCCAGCACTGGCTACTCGATGGTGAGTTGAACTGTGGCTAAACTGGGTTTCTGGGAGGAGCTGGCAATGGTCTTGTGTAGTCCCTTAATTTCTTATAGATTGGAAAATGTCTTTCCCCCCAAACTGTCTGTCATTTATTTAATGTTCTAATTTGGGAACATGATAGAAACCCACAGAGGTGAAGCATTTTAATTCCTCTGTTCCAGGCCATTATTTTGAAAGCCACTGACTAGAGAGAATCCTTCAGTGAATTCCTGTTATTGTTCCAGTTTTGATGATGCCCTTTCTTTTGGTGACTAAGTCATTCTAAAGTATAACTCATCTTAAATCAGAGATTCTTTCATTCACCAGAGTCCACACAAAGTAAAACTATAAGTTATCATTTTTTACTTGTCAGCTTAATAGAGATGAACATCTGAAAATCCTTTATTGAATGTGTAGAAAACAAATATTGTAGAGAGTAAAAAATGGGCACCCTTTGAAGAAGAGTTTCGCAACATGTGTGCTTTGTGATTCTGCAGTTTTGTTCTAGATTTCTGCCTAAAGATACATTTTCAAGGATGTTTATTCTGGCATTATTGGTAAATAGTAGGACACTGCCTCTGCTCTAAGGTGAGTGTCAGTTTGTGGCCTGTTAGGAACCAGGCTGCACAACAGGAGATGAGAGAGCAAGCAGAGCTTCATATGTATTTATAGCTGCTCCCCATCATTTGGATTACTGTCTGAACCCCGCCTCCTGTCAGATCAGCAGTGGCATTAGATTTTCTCAAACCCTATTGTGAACTGTGCATGTGAGGGATCTAGGTTGCTTGCTCCTTGTGAGAATCTAATGCCTGATGATCCTGAGGTGGAGCTGAGGTAGTGATACTAGCACTGGGGAATGGCTGCAAATACTGCATTATGGTGAGTTGTATAATTATTTCATTATGTATTGCAATGTAGTCATAATAGAAATAAAGTGCACAATAGATGTAAGTGCTTAAATGATCCCAAACCACCCTACCTGCCTCTATTTTGGTCTTTGGAAAAATTGTCTTCCATGAAACTAGTCATTGATGCCAAAAGGTTGGGGACTGCTGTCTTAAGGGACTTATATCCCAGTAGGGGTGTCAGTTGTGTAAACATGTACAAAAATTTAGTTACTAAAAAAAAAAAATAGTTACTGATGCTCTAATAGGATCAAATATATGTGGTACCCTGAGGACACAAATGATCTATTTTATTGGTGGAAAGAGGAATTGGAACAACTTTATGGAAAAGGGGATGAATAGATATATGGATGAATGGGGGATAGGAAGCAGATTTTTTTTTTGGCACAGGGGCAATATGAACAGGGTAAAAGAGAAATAACTTCACCTGGTATTTTCCTGGATCTGCAAGCAGAGGGAGGTGGAGAAATCCTAGGGTGGATAGCCTTGATTTGGTGCAAGAATGGTGGAATTGGAAGTTGTTGGCTATGGGGACTGCTGAAGAGTTGCTGGTAGGGATATAACATGATCACATTTGTGTATTCTGTTAGCATAAGAGGAGAGAGTAGGTGCTGGGGCAGAGAGAAAAGTGGTGACTAGAAGCCAAATAAGAGATGGTTGGGACCAGCAGGCTGTTGGCATAATGGCTATGTCACTGGACTCCCATGTAGCCAACCGCAGTTCGAGTCCCGGACCCTGTGGCTTAAACTCAGGCCGGTGCGTGTGCTTGTGTGTCCAAGATCCCGAGAGGAGAATGGAGGAGAAGAGATTGTGGTGTGTCCATCCTCCCTAAAAAAAAAAAAAGAAAAGAAAAAAGAGAGAGAGAGAGATGGTTAGAATAACTGGGCAAAAGGTTATTCAGAGCCTGAATTTCAGCAATAGTTGTGGAGGGAGAGGAGGTACCATCCCTCAAAAGACTGGGTTAAGGTGGGAGAACTGACCAGGGTTATGACTATGTTCAGCACAACAGCCTTGAATTTTATTGCTTTCCAAGCTCTTTGAGTTTTTTCGGCTATGATCACCCTCCTTATACTTCCCAAAGCAAGTCAGTTTCTCTAGACTCTTCACAAAAGTAGGCAGCTTCTTAGTATTTTTCAGGTAGTTGTCATAATTGATAAACAATGGTTTTATCCTTACCTAACAGTAATTTCTGTAAATTATTTAAACACAAGGCTTCTCATCTTACAAAATGAATTTGTGTAGTTAACTAGTGTTTTTTTTTTTCTTTTATAGATCATTGGGAAAGTCAAGACGTGTTTATATGCAAAAATGCATCAGGACTCTTCCCAATGACCCATAGCATTTCTGAGTCCAAATAATTGACATGATATTCATTTGGTGTGTAAGGTCGGATGTAAACCAATTTTCTCTGTATTATATTCTAATTATATTTATTAAATAATGTTTAGTTCTCTAAAAACAAAAAAGTCATGAGGGTTGGCCCCCATTGTAAAGTGGTTAAGTGATGTGTATAGAAAGTAGGTCTCACAGGCCAACAGCATTTTGAATCCTGGTTCTGGTGGCTTGAAAAACGTACTGGGTGTGTGTGCATGTGTGCCTCAAATCCTGATGGAATGGAAAAGTGGAGAAAAAGAGTTGTGGCTTGATGATGACCCGCTGGGAGTTTGCTTTCTCTCTTTCTCACTCTCTGGCAGCACCACACACCCTCTGGCAATGGGGAAAATAAAAATAAATAGGCCCAGCCTCTGTGGTGTAGTTGGTAGCGTACCAACCACAGAGCTGGAAGCCACATGCCCACTGCAACCCAGGTGGTCTGAAAACATGCCAGTTGTGTGCATATGTGCCCAGGATCCTGGAGGACTGGAGGAAGGGGATTGCAAAACAACTGAGTCCTATGGAGGGTGCTTCTTTCACCCACCCTTGCACATGCTTTATCACGAATAATAACAGTAATAATAGTAATAAACTAATAGTAATAAAGGTTGATCTATTTTAGACTCCTTTGGAGAGCTGGTTAGTGTAATAACAGAGAACATGGAACCTGGTGCTAGATAGCCTGAATTCATTCCCAGCGCTGCCACTTATGGGCAGTGTTTGTGACCTTGGATAGGTTACCTCACCCCTCTTTGCTTCTGATTCCTTATGAAAAACAGATTAGAAAAGTGTAAGGAAGAAGTCTGAATCTGAGTAAAGTGCGTGGAGGAATTCTGGCTGTATAGTAAGTGCTCTATGTAACCATGAGATTTTAGACATTTTTCTTGTCGTGGCTTGTGTGCAGGTCCTGAATTTTTGTGGGATGACTACATGCAGTAAGTTCAAAAATAGTTTTCAAAATATTTATCCATGCAGAGTTGAAAAGTTAACTTCGGTTATGAAATGTTCTATGTATATATATATATATATTTAAATTATTTATTTTTTGAGAGAGAATAAAGCAAGCTTGACAGGGTCTCACACTTTGAGTCTCTCCTCCCAGCTAGCTGGGATCCAGGACATACCTACGGGTAAGCAAGTAACCAAACCAACGACCCTTGCATAAGGATCCGGCTTCACTTGTGTAGCTTGTCACCACTGTGCCCCTGAGTTGGTCTCTCTGTCTTTTCAGTGCTCGCTTTTGCCAAAACTCTCCCTCTCAGGGTGAATAACTGAAGTCCTTTTACATCACAGGCCTGTTTTTAGTGAAGTACGTCAGTCTCCCAACTGATTCAGTTTGTATCTTTCTCCTTGAAATCCCATCTGGTCACTTTTTCAATTGTGATTTTTCTTTAAAGTTCTGGAATCCATCCATTTGGCAAAGCGGAGAGCATAAGGAATGCCTAGTTCCCATGTTCAGCTTTAGACTCCTTATGTTACAGGGCACATGGTCTGCGGAGGACGTGTGTGCTGAGTATGCTAAAGGTGATTGAATGTGGAAAGGTCAAGAAAGGAATTCTGGATGACAGATGACTCATCATCTTGGTCCATATGGCTGTAGAGTGGCATTCTGCAAATGGTGGGTGGAAATGAGCAGAGAGGAAGAGGGCCAAGGAGCACCAAGTTGGGGGTGGGGAGGTGGCACGTGCTCTGTGACTTGGTCAGCTCTGTCCTTGCTTAAAGAGTGTCCAGCACAACCTTGCCTCCACAGTGTCCTTTCAACGCGGGTAAGGAATAACGCTTTTTCACATGTCATGTATAGATGTGTGGGGGTTTCTCCTTCTCTTCTCTCTTTCTCTCTCTTTTTTTTTTTTTTTCCTTTGTCTGGCTTTAATTTCCTTGGAAGTTTAAGATGTCAATGAGAACAGCTTAAAAAATGTTTTTCTCAAATTTTTTAAGGCAAAGATTCAACTAAAGGATTATATTGCACAGTCTTTCTAATTTTGTTATAAAACCATTTTTTTTTTTAGCTTCATAGAGAAGGTATTAACTGCATACTAGGTGATTTTTACCTCGAAAGAGTATCTAGAGAACAATAATCAGCTATTAAAAACAAAGACACGATTTTCACTTTATAAGAAAGGGCTGGCAGAGATGTAGAGTGTGTAAACTGACTGCCGACCTGTACATTGAAATAGTAACCCACAGATTCTCTCAGTCCTAATTTTTCTCCATGTATAAGATGTAATGGAATTGTCTGCCATAGGATTCTAAGTGAAGCTACTAATACATTTTAAATTTGGTGTCAAAGTTTGGTTTCTTAGAAAGCAACCTTAAATTGAGGAATTATAAGGGGAATATAATTTTGAGCTTTTTCATTGGAGATTTTAGAACAAAAGCATTATTTGGTCCATGGCTGTATTTAGATCATGGTCCACTTGTTTCATTCTGAACAATGTTGAACGCTAATTGGTGCTTTCTGAAGGTAATTGTTTTATTTTGTTGTGTGTGTGTTTTGTTTATGTTTGAGCAGAAATGAGAGCTGTCTAAATACATGCAGTGTTTGTGTTTATTTTCATTTGGAGTTAAATGACCTTAGACCTGAGATACTCCAGGATACATGCATACTCAGAGACCTTCAAGCCAAGTAAAAAGTGTAGGTCTAGAAACCACAGATGCCAGAGCAAAGACGTTTTGCCCTGACTTTACCACATCAACTGGTACATAACTGCTCTGACT